CCCAGATCAAGAGTACCGGTCTCCAGGTAGCCATGGGTGACTCCATACTAGAAGTTTCGCAGCTGTTTGGAGGTGACATGAATTCCAAAGGTCTTCTCCAGTCAGGCTGCGACTGGAGATGACTTCATATTTTGGTGTACATGAAGGTGATGGGCGAGAGCCAGCTCCTGCTTATCGAGGAACATCTTGGGTATCTTCCGCCCTGGTACTCGTATCCACGTCTTCTGTCTGGGCTGCGAAAACTTTGCTGATATGTGACTCGGCTCGGTGTCTTTTTTTGCCCCCTCCCCTGTAAATCGGTCTACTACGGGTCTAACAAAACATTAACTATAGAACCTCTTCAGTAAACCAGGAACACTTAACTAGGAAAACTGAACAGCCTTTCAATCCTAGCTATTTTGCGCTCTGTCGCGACTCGGAATGAACGACATACACTCAGAATAAATAATGAAAGTGCCAAGAAAATACACAAACCTTTGCATATTTTCACAACGCAGGATAGATTCTTCTTGAGTACTACTTTGACAGGAAGTTCTTCTTTCAATCGATTATTGACCCATTCCTCTTCAACCATATTGATTTCTCCATTTGGGCACACAACCAGTAGCTGAGGTCTTGTCGCTGTCGGTAGGGCGCAGCCCAACTCATCCTCTATTCGCAATTCTGCGACACGACGAGCAACAGCATGACGTTTCCTGCCTCGCTGTAAACGCTTATACTCGAATGCGCTGTAACTCCGTGCTATTTACCAAGTAATATCAGAGCTGTGTAGCTGCAGCCGTTGTAGGAAATGTGGTGCCCATACGGGTCTTGCGAGGGGGGAATGTATAAGTCAGGGTTCTTATCCCCCAGACAAGGCTGATACCAAATTACCGTCCTGGAGGGTAGACGGCATGGTTGGCTAGAGCGGGAAACGAACCGCGATTTGACACTGGACCGTAAGTAATAGGCGTGCTTACTTGCCACTACCCCACTTCGGTATGCCATAGAAATGAAAAATACCTTCTTGGGCTTCACGGCGCTACTCTTTTCCTCAGCCGATCCTGCAGGATCCACTACTCCACATGGTGATGAGGAACCAGGTTTCACACCATCTCTGAAAAATGAAGAAAGTGCTCCAACATAGTTGAAAATAAAAGAAACCATTACACCATGCATTCTATACGTGGGAGATGGAATGGGTGTGGCCACATGCCTCAGCACGCAGCGACACCCTCTCCATCTCTGGGATTTCGGCTGTATATTGTTGAAGTCAGAAAATATGCTGGATTCATTATCTGCTATCATAATCGAGATCTTCAAATTCAAACCGGAAAACAACACTTCGTTTCTTCTCAGAAGAATCTGAAGACTGAGAGGTTTCTGCTTCAGAATCACCGACACTCGCAGATCGCGTTTTCAGCACACCACGCGATGCACGGCTGCCTCCTGACGTTGACGTTGATATAGGAGCCTCATTGGATGCACTTCTGTAAAATCTTGGATACTTTCGGAACTAATAGCATATTTAGCTGAATACCTACGTATCGCTAAGTCTGCACTCTGGTGTGCTATGGGCTCAATTCTTGCAGCTCTGGCAGGAAAATGGATAAAAATTGAGATGGACAAAGGCACAACGCATGATTACCCCATGATTACGCTGAGAAATCTACAACAGAGGTCGTATTCAAGAGCTGAGTGAAGGGTGGGGGAAAGAGCTAGGCCCAGTGTCAGTCACTAATAGCGCAGTAGTACACCAATCAATGGAGAAGAGAAAAATCCAAGAAAGCCGTACTGATGCATCCAAGATCCCGCCAAAGCGCGAATCAGCCTCTGGCTCAATCTGCTGGGTGAACTTTGTCATCTACTACCCTAGTGTTGTCCTTACTTCGCTCACCCGCCACACTGATGATTCCCAGGGTTGGCGAAATTACAGTGGTTTGTATGTGGTTAAGGATGAAACAAACCAGTGTTTTTTTGCAGTATTTGTACTACATATGTTCATTTCTTCTTCTAATAGGTCATGGCTGCGTGCCGTGATGCCGCTGATTTCACAGTTGCAACAGCATGCCACTGTAAGCTCAGCAGTACAGTGACCTTCGATAAGTGGGACGTTCTTCGTCGTGATTATTCTATGTACCTGTCCATATTCTACATTATTGTCCAATAAGAAATAAAACTAGGCTTAAGCTGATGGTAGCCTCCCAGAGTCTGCTGTAGCATGCGTCGCAGCCGTGGAAAACAGTGGTCTCCTATAAAGTTTGCTATAGTACGCTTCTCACGCTATACCCTCCATACCACTTGCGAAAGTGTCTGCTAAAGATCGAGCTAGTTTTTCATTTCGAACAAAGTTTGTCATTTGACAATGGGTTCTTCATGATTTCATCATTGAAATCTTCGTAAGCGCAAGATTACAGATATATTTTATTGAAATCATCTGAACTTACACTTCAGCATGCTCCCTCATCATCTTCTCGTAGTCCTCGATCCGAGCCAGCATTGTTGCACAAGGAGTGCATACGCGAGCTTGAGCTTGCTAAATTGCGAGATTTATAAAACAAAAATTGTAGTCACTCACTTAGTAGTAACTTCTGAATACACACTCGACAACATGCTGCCTGAAATACCTGCAAGGTGCTTCCTTCTATGTTCTGGGACCACAAGATCATAGCTGCAGTGGAATGCCAAAGTCTCAAGCAAAAATCGCGTGAAAATGAAGGTGGAGATGATAGCTGGATGTTTTCTTCTGCCATTCAAAAGGCGACGAGAAAGCTCCAGAGAAGCAACACACCACACGGCTAGCAGTACTCCTCACAGTCGTC